ACAAATAAATAAACAAACAGAAAACAAGTAGTAGGTACAGACCACACTCCATACTTACGATGAGAAACTCCTGGAGTGAGGACCGGAACCAGTGGGTTTTGTTCCTGCTGATGCTGGAGGGGATCAGACCATCCAGGGCCTCCTGCCTGCTGAGCATCAGCTCTGAGCTGTGCCCCACTGAGCTGCATTCCTACCTTGTGATAAGTGTTCCCAAGTTTAACATCACTGCTCCACTCTAGTATGCCGTAATGCTTCTCATTTTTTCCCCCTCAGTGCCTCTCAGATTTTAGTACATACAAAAGTCATTCAAAAATTATTATTAAAATGTGACACGGCAGGAGATTCTTTAGTGATTTAATGCCCCTTAAACTTGAGAATTGCTCATTTGAAAACGTCTTAACATGTGTTCTCTTCTTCCACACACCAGCATCTGTTGCATTTATTTGTGGGCTTTTGTGATTGTTCTGAGACCAGTGTCCCTTGATGGCCTTTAGCTTCCCATGCAGCCAAAGCTGGCCTTTGTAATCCTGCCTTCTCCCTCCCCTTTCAAAATGGTGGAATTACAAGTTCATGTCTCCATACCCATCTTGATTTGTGTTTCCGTCAGTTCTGCTGGATGATTCTCTGATAGCTGTAGAGTTGTTCTCTGTGTTTTGGGAGAAGAGTGGACTCTGGGATATAGTGGACCATAAGCTCAAGTCTGGAGTACAAATGGCAAATATTGTCAGGCCCTGAATTTTCTTGTTACTCCTAGATTGGCATTTATAGATCTATTTACCTATAAGTCGGGTAAAATCTGATGAAATTATCCTTTCCCTTCTGGGCATTTTAGGTCAGCTGATAGAGTGCTTATCTAACATGTCTGAGTTCCTGGGTTTGATACCCAGCATGCACTTATATCTCAGCATTCAGGAAGTAGAGGCAGGAAGATCAGAAATTGAAGACCATCCTTGGCTATATATAAAGTTCCAAGGCTAACCTGGGCTACATGAGATCTTTTCTCAAAACAAAAATAAATAAAGTATTGGGTTATAACCCATAGAACAAGTCAAATATCCATGAGAGTATACTTTAATACATAAATAATTGAATGCATTAGTAAATGAGATGGCAGGATAGTAAAATTCTAATTAATTTGTACAGAAAGAATTAGAGAAATAGAAAATCAGAAGAAAATACTGTAGCATTGTTTTAGATAATATCTACTAATGAGAAAAATATTAGTGGGTCAGAATTTAAAGAAAACTCAGATATTTGTTTCAATGAATCTTTCCAAGATTATTAATGGAAATGCAGTACTTTTATGAAGAAGTCTATCATAACTCACTTTTCCCACATGGTCAGAGTTACCATTGCCAGTGATAAGACATAATCCTGTACCCCTTATATAGACCCTCAAAAGGGAGTTAGTTAGAATTCTCCAGAGAAACACAGCTCTTAGGATGTAAGTACATTTACTGTAAGGAGCTGGTTCACACAGTTATGAAAGGTGACAAGTCCCAAAATCAGCAGAAAGACTCAGTAAGTTGGAGGCCTGGGGAAGCCATGGTATGTTCTAGTATGATGCCAAATGCCAAGAATCGGACAGTCTGTTGCTGAAGCATAGATCTGGAGACAGCAGTTAGGACCCTCAAAGAGCCAAAGTTTCAGACTGAGTCCAAAGCAAGCAGCAGCAAGTCTGAAGACAGTCGGAAGGAGCTCTTCTCCTGGGAGGAGGATCAGCCTCTCTGTTCTGTTAGCTCAGCTGCCATGGAGAGGCCTATCCACTCAAGGGAAGGCCCTTTGTTGCATTCAGTCCTACAGGTCAATTGCTAATTTAATTCAGAGTACCTTTACGGCACACCCGGAATATTGTTTGAGCAAACAGTGCACTCCATGGCTTAGTCATAAAATGACATAATTTTGTTTGCCAATAAGAAGAATAATTGAGTAGCTCCGTGGTATTCATGCCAAACACTGTGGGAACCTCATCTCTTCATAAGCAAGCCTTAGGTATCAAATTGATAGGTATTTGATAAAATAACCGACCAATTTCTTTGAGGCAGAAGCTGAGACTTGAGATGCATGCATATTATTAGGAAGACAAAGAACACTGGGCCAGAACCCATGAGACTGTGGTGCCAGCAGCTTAGTCTGGTTCTGCTGTTAATTTGGCTTCTTTCCACTTGTAATTTTCTGAGACCAAATAGTTTTGGCTAACTACCATGCACACAGCTGATGGACGAGTTAAAATGATTATATAGATATTGTATGTATTATCACGCTCTACGTTTAGATTTTCTAAATGTTTTATCCATATGCAGTTTTCCATTTTGTTCTCAAAGTCTTCGATTTTTATCAGACTTCATATTACACACCCTAGTATTTCCCTTAGAGTGCTTGTGTGTGTGCTTGTGCATGTGTGTGCGTGAAGAGCCAGAGGACAACCGCAGGTGCCGTTCCTCATTGTTGTTCTTTTTTAATGCAGACCTCTTAGTGGCTACAGCTAGCTGAGTGAGCTAGCTTTCCCACACATTTGAAGGTCCCCTGTCTTTGCATCCCCATTTCTGGCGTTACAAACATGCGTCACCCTGTTCAGTCTTTTAAAAAAATCCCAAAGTGTGTTTTGCAGACTGAATTCAGTTGTGCTTGTTGCAAGACAAGCACTTGGCTGATGAGCCATCTCTCTAGCTCTTCTAGAATATTTCTTTCCTTTTGGGGGGTGGGTGGGGGTGGATGACAGGAGTCAGGA